CATCTTTCAATCTTTTTTTTTGCTTTATCATTAAGGCTTAAGTATACATTTTCAATATTAGTACCGTTATCAGCGTAAACTGTCAGATTATTTTTCATCATTTTATAAATCCACTCTTCAGTATAGAGTAGTATTTATGTGAATAAGTTCCTTCTTTAGCAGCTTGTATATAAGTTTCTATCTCTACTTTTTTGCCGCTAAAGAGGTCTTTTATGTATTGTTACATGATGCAATTTGGGAAGCTTCCCTTGGAGTTGAAATTCATCTCTCTCGTTAACTGATCTTTCGGCTCTTTATATTTTTTTTAAATCATTTTGGCATCTTCAAGTAAATCATTATGGATAGGATATTTTAACAAAACAGGCAAAGCTAAATGGTACTCTTTACAAACTAAATTAAGGCATATAACATAGCAGTATTAGGTATCCTTCCTTTTAATAGATTAACACCCATAGTGTTATATCGATACAGTGTCATCTCTAGGTTATACCCTTCTTCATTATTACTCTTTGAGTAATGAATTTTCTTCCTTTCGGCTGCATCATCTAATGCTTTATATTTTAGGAATAGATTCCTTCCATAAAACCACCGAGCATTGAATAGTCTTAATACATTATTAAATATAGTATAATACTATTTCAGTAATACATCAAATTATTATAATAATTAGCTAGGTAGTTAACTAATCCTGTAATCCTAGCACTTAGTACTAAGATTACAGGAAAGAAGGGGTGATTAGAAAGAAAACTTCACGCCAGTTAGCAGAAGGAATCCCGCGTTAGGGGAAACTTCCTTATTACCTTGTAAAGTAATCTTATATTTTGCATCTTGTTTTTCATCAGTTCTGAAATAATGCAGAGCTGCATAGGGAACAAATTTGCTTTTGCTTCCCGCGGAAGATAGATCATACTGAATACCAAGTGCAACATCATGCAGTACATCTTTATCGTTCACGTAACTACCAAAGTAAGTTAAGCTTGTGTAGATATTTTCATACTGATAACCTGCGCCAGCAGTCCAGTACATAGTGTTTTGATCAAGCTGCTTTAATCTTACTATTCTATCTTCATCACCAATATCTTTATATTCCGGCGTAGCAGGAACAAATTCCTTTATGCCCTTAGGTTGACCAGACTTACCTAAATGTGCAAAAGATGCAGCAAATTTCGCACTTTGACTTTCATTAATCTTATAATCAGCGCTGATACCAAGGTTCATACCCATTAAATCATTATACTTAACATATTTGCTGTACATATGCTTATCTTTATTGCGTGATTTTGAGAGGCCATATTCCCCAACTGCAGCAGCTTTAACTTTAACTTTATATTCATTGAAGTCATATTCATAAGATACACCAGCACTCAATATATGCTCATAGTTTGGACCAACATATTTTGGACCCACGGTAGTACCACCTTCGGTTTGTGGAGGTACGCCATCATTTTGAATAAGTTCTTCTTGAGGAGATTTTTGATATGCTTCAAGAGCAGATTTGTCCATTTTAGAAGGTTGTGAACCATTAAATTGTTGAGATGTGTCAGAGGTAGGTTGCTCATCTAATGCCTGTCTTGTTTTGCTATTTAGATCAGGTTGATCACCTCTAGCTTTTCTCATAGTAGCAGGAGGAGCATCAGATTGAAGTATTTTAGGAGGGCTACTACGAGTAGGCTGAATATCGCCTAACTCTGACACAATGAATAACTCACTGTCATAACGTGGTGAATAACTAAAACCAAATCTTGCACCCATATAACTTGCTGAGTAGTAAGCAATTCTAAATGGTAGAGCATTTATAATGCCCTTGTTGTACTTTCCACTCATACGAAAAGCAAGTTTCTCACTTTCATTTGAAAAGCTTTCAGTGTAAAGGCGTGGTGTTACATAGAATGGAAACGATGCAGCACTTCCTTCTAAGTTAACTCTTCTAAACCAGTTACTATCTGCAGCACCATCAACAGTTGCAATTTTTGTTGCATCGAGTCTCATCAGTGCTTCAGGACCAAATTGATAACCAACTCTTACATCACCATATTCTGAATTAACGAATACATGCGCACCTCTGTTTCTTGAAGATACTTTCCCTTTGGTAACTGGAATATTAAACTGTAGATCAGCACCATAAATTAAGCCCAAATCTTCATTTTTATTTTCTGCTCTTAAGTGTAATATTGCATCCACATCTGCACCTATGTGTTCGCTATAGTCACCTATATTACCTATTCCTTCAGTGAAAAGGGGATTATTGCCTTTAATCTTCTCTGGAGCTGCACTATAATAATCTACTGCTCTTCCTACCATAACATTGTAGTGCTTGAATTTATCGCTATCTCCTGCAGAAACCTTACCATATCCTTGAGCATCAACAGTACCGCCAAAAGTTATTTTCACGCCTCTTTTTTGTGTACAGCACGAGTATGAGTCGTCACAATCAGCAATTTTTGCTTTATTTTCGATGTTTCTATTAGCAACAGATTTCATGCCATCAGCTTCAACTGTTCTAGCAACCACTTTTTGCTTTGTACTTGCTGACTTTAAATTTTCTTTCTTTTTAGCTTGTTCAGCTTTCTTCATAGCTTCTTCTTCAGCTTTCTTTTTGGCATCATCGGCTTTCTTTTTAGCTTCATCCGCCTTCTTTTTATCCCCTTCAGCTTTTCTCATAGCTTCTTCTTCAGCTTTTTTCTTAGCTTCTTTAGCTTTTTTTTCTGGATCGGCATTACATATCCTATCCATTTTCTCTTTTAACTTTTTGTTTGATGTTTTCATTACTTCTTGTGAAGTATTCTTGTGACCCTGCTTCTTCACTTCTTCACCAGCTGTAAAGCCACTAAAAGAATATAGAGTTAATAAAGAAGCCAGGGCAGTTTTAGTATATACAGATTTTCTCATGCATTGCCCCCAAAAAAAATTTCAAAATAATTTACTTTATCTAAATAATAAAATTTCAAGATAGTGTAAAATGTTAACTTAAAACTATCTTATATCTAAAACAGAAACAAAATGCAATACCAATATTACCAACAAGATAATCTTTTTACAATTTTGAACGTATAGATTAACTCTAATTTAACACGAAATTTAAAATCTTCAACCTTTATATTAAATTTTTACATTATTTTGTCGCTAATTTACTTTTCGTATATTTGCAGCAACTCGTATGCAGTATAATAATCTACTGCTCTTCCTGCCATAACATTGTAGTGCTTGAATTTATCGCTATCTCCTGCAGAAACCTTACCATATCCTTGAGCATCAACAGTACCGCCAAAGGTTATTTTTACTCCTCTTTTTTGAGTACAGCAAGAATATGAGTCATCGCAATCAGCAATTTTTGCTTTACCTTCGATGTTTTTATTAGCAATAGATTTTATAGCATCAGTTTCAACTTTCTTGGGAACCACTTTTTGCTCTGTACTTGCTGACTTTAAATCTTCTTTCTTTTTAGCTTGTTCAGCTTTCTTTACATCTGCTTCTTCAACTTTCTCTTTGGCATCATCGGCTTTCTTTTTAGCTTCATCCGCATTCTTTTCATCCCCTTCAGATTTTCTAATAGCTTCTTTAGCTTTTTTTTCTGGATCGACATTACATATCCTATCCATTTTCTCTTTTAACTTTTTGTTTGATGTTTTTGTCACCTCTTGTGAAGTATTCTTGTGACCCTGCTTCTTCACTTCTTCATTAGCTGTAAAGCCACTAAAAGAATATAGAGTTAATAAAGAAGCCAGGGCAGTTTTAGTATATACAGACTTTCTCATGTATCGCCCCCCAAAAAAAATTCAAAATAATTTATTTTATCTAAATAATAAAATTACAATATAGCGTAAAATGTTAATTTAAAATTACCTTATATCTGAAACAGAAGCAAAATGCAATACTAATCTTACCAATAAGATATTTTTTTTTGCAATTTTGAACGTATAGATTAACTTTAATTTAACTTGAAATTTAAAATCTTCAACTTCTGTGTTAAGTTTTTACATTATTTTATTTGGTAG